TAGCCACATTTAACGACTTGTAATTCTCCAAATGTCCCATGCTTTCCACTGCCATGTTTTTTATTATCCCCTCTGCTTGGAATTCTCTATCCCCACCGATGGGAAGGCAAACTCCTTCTCCTCCTTCTGTACACTCCACTACCTTGCACATAATGGCAGCATATACACTGACCATACTGTGTCTGTATTGTAACTGCTTCCCACCTTGTTCCAAGCAGTTTTTACTATAAAAAGTTCTACTGATAAAACTAATACACATTAGAGAAAACACAGGAAAAATATAGGAAACAGAAGATACATGTATACGTGCGTGTGCGTGCATACCTCTTTATCCCTCATAGTATCGTCAGCTTCACAAAGTCACTGGTATTTTGTTGTATTTCCTTCTAAGAGTTTTTCTTTTTTCTTTTTTTAAAGATTTTATTTACTTATTTGACAGACAGAGACACGGTGAGAGAGGGAACACAAGCAGGGGGAGAGGGAGAGGGAGAAGCAGGCTTCCCGCGGAGCAAGGAGCCCGATGCGGGGCTCGATCCCAGAACCCTGGGATCATGACCTGAGCCGAAGGCAGATGCTTAACGACTGAGCCACGCAGGCGCCCCTCCTTCTAAGAGTTTTTCATAAGCATCTCTTTTTTAACATGACTAATCAGAGCGAATGTGCAATGTTGTAGCTACCTGCCCTTTAAGAACAAAGCCAACATTATACAATATGAATTTTTTTTTGTTATACAGTCATCCTAACCACCACTTGTTAATGGTTACATAATAGCCCATAAAGTGGATATGTTACAGTATACTACCTAAACATCCTGAACATTCTGCTGTTGTTCAATATTTAGGTCTCCCTCCTTCCCCCCTTTTGGGCTATTATAATTAAGAGAGAAATTACCATCTTCATACACATGGTTCTCCAATATTTTGGATTGGTTTATTTCCTTAGAATAGATTACCAAGAGTAATAGATATATGAGTTAAGAATCTTTCTTCTTTCAGCTCAAATTTGGGAAGGGAAAAAATACATGCAGGTGTATATTATGTTTCAATCTCCCTTCCTGTAATTTTAGTGATGCTAAATATTTACTCATGTTTATTTACTATTTGTTTCCTCTTTTGTGAACAGTTCATGTCTTTTGCCCACTTATCTAAATTTCAGTGTTTTAAAAAATCAATTAAAATAAAGATTTTATTATTTTTTTGAGGGGAGAGGGAGAGAGGTAGGGAGAGGGAGAGAGGGAGAAGGGCAGAGGTAGTGGGAGAGGGAGAATCCCAAGCAGGCTCCACGCTCAGCACAAAGCCCGATACGGGCCTTGGATCCCACAACCCTGAGATCACGACCTGAGCCGAAATCAAGAGTTGGAAGCTTAATTGAGCCACCCAGGCGCCCCTAGAATAAAGATTTTAACGCTTTGTAGTATTTGCTGCAACTTTTTTTTTTTTTTGCCTCTTTTTATTTTGGTAATATTTTAGCTGCAAAAGTAATAAAATCTCATTACAGAAATTGTGCATTACACTTTAAAAAAATCATCCATAATTCTGCCACCCTGACATAGCCACTATTATCATTCCCACTGCTTTTTTTTTATATATGTGTGCATTCTACAAAGTTGTAATTGTGGTGTGCATACAGTTTTAAAACCTGCCTTTTTATTAACACAAGTCTTTTTTCTGAAACACCCTATTGTCTTCATAATCATCATTTAAAATAATACATAATATTCTATGGAACAGATTGACTACTTATTACTACATATTCATGTTATTTCTAATTTTTTTGTTTCATAAGGAACACTGATAAACACCTCCATGCAAATAGTTTTTTCCATATTTTGCATGGTCTTCTCAGGAAACATTCTCAGTAGTAGGATTAAAGGGCATTAATCCTATCCCTAAAGTAGACAAAGGGCATTAATATACCTTAGCTACCAAGTTGCTTTCTTAAGGGGTTGAAAAAAACTGCACTATTACTAGCCAACTGAGTACCATGTTTTCCAATTCTGGCCTAAAAAGGGGCTACCTAGTTGTTAAAATTTGCATTTCTTTGACTAGTAGCAATGAACATTGCCCCATGTTTTCCAGTGGTACTTAAACACCTTTGCAAATTGTCTCTTCACGTTCTTTGCCCATACTTCTTCTCACACATCATACGAGTGCCTTAGAAAACACAAACCTACCACACTTTGTCATATTTATGACAAATATGCCTTTTTAGTCTGTATTTAGATGTTGTGTTTTAAAGGGCCACAAAACTTTTAAAAGTGATTTTGGTTTTAAAATTTTATGCAGCTAAATTCGTTGAGCTTTTCCTTTGGGAGTTTTTTTTTTTTTTTCTCTATTACTTCCTAAGCTTAGGGAAACTATTCTCCTTGAGAAGCTTGATAAATACCCATTCATTCCAGTTTTTTTAATTTGCTTTTTTACACTGAACTCTTCAATCTAGCTGCCACTTTTTTTTTAGTTTATTACGAGAGATGAGGGTATAAATGCTACCAGCTGTCACAACACCATTTACTGACGAATCCTTTCCACTCCCATCCACTTGCAAAGCATCTTTTATAATAGACTGCATTCTTATACATAACAGTCTCTTTGCGGAGTGTGGTATAATATCATCTGTCTCCTCTTATACCAGCGGTACCAGTGTTTTCATTATCCTAGTTTTGTATGTTTAATATCTAATAGCATTAGTCACTCATCATTCTTCTTTTGAAGAATTTTCTTTGAAAATTACTGTTCTTTAGTTTCCAAATGCAATTATTTGCTGTCTTACCTCTAAGATATGAATTTTGTGAAGGGCGGATTGGTTCGTTTCCTTAGAATAGACTGCTAAGAACAATATTACCGGGTCATACAGGTATGAATGTTTTCCCCACTCTTTCAACACTTAGCTCCGAGGTTTTCAAAAAGAGTGTACCAATGTCACTGTAATCATGCCAGCATGAGGGTATTTTGAAGATTTTTTTTTTTCAACATTGGTAGGGGAGAAAGATACCTTGCTTCAATTTTTATCTCTCTGCTTATTAGTGATGATAAACATGCTTGACATACAGTAGGTGCTTAATCAGTGCATGCTGAATGACTAAATGGCATGTATGAATCCATACACGTATTTGGGGATGGAAACGTTTAAACAAATATTGCGCTTATGAAAGATAATGCTGGCTAGATGTCAGTTTGTGGGCTAAATGCCTGGAGTCCACCTGCAGAGATGTTCTAGAGGTGCCAAGAACCCCCGAGAATTTGGACCTGAATTGGGGAGATCTCTAGAGACTCTCTGCAATTTATATCCACCACAGTGTCTGTTTCCAGGTAGGATCAGCTGAAAGCCGTCTGAAACAGTTAAGATAATACCTACCAACATGCAGACCAGGAGCAGCCATGATTGACTCTAGATAGAGCATGCTTCATTTCAAAGCAAAACAGGGAGGAGAAGTGGCAGGTATCTCAGTATTCCACTGGAAACTGACCCAGGCCCTAGCAGGCCTTAAGCAGTGAATTTAAATAGGTAAGACCCTCCAGTGCCACATGCAGAAAGTAGATCTGATTAACAGGCTCAGGCATTTTCTAGGAAACCACACTACTTTTCTTCTCAACTTGCTAAGCACAAGAGGGAAAAGAGGTCCTTGGTTCAGAGGACCCCTCCCGACCTTCATCTGTAGTTTAAAGGAGAGAGGGTCGTTTTTCTTTTCTTTTCTTTTTTTTTTTGTCCTAGGGATCACTGTCTTTATTTTGAAATTTTTTAATAGAGCAAGAGCTAACAAAAGGTAGGTGGTTTCTCTTTGTTTCTAAGGCCATGGAAAACATGTTATTAAACACTGGTTCTCTCTGCTCCATCACCTCAGTAGTAGATTCTAGTAGTAAACTTTCTCAAGGACTTCCTTGGTCATGAAATCTGTTGATGTGATGAAAAGAATTCCATGTTATCGTCTTAACCTGCATATGCTGAAACTGCTCAAGGTTTCAGTCTGAAGAAAAAAAAAAACGCCATTTTCTCTGGACTCAAGAGCACCAAGGAGGTCAAGGTCATGGCCAACAGTATGAATGATTGGCGTGTGAAAGATGCATCACCAGTTACTCCCACCACTGCTTCATTTCACTCACACAGCACATAGAGCAATTCAAAGTTTTAAAAATTCTTCTCCTCCAGTATGTATTAAGTACTTACTACCCACACAGCAAGCAAGCGTATCAAGCAAGATGACAAATGCCGTCCCAGCGGTCCTTGTCACACACAGGGTAGAGCTGTTTGAAATGTCAACATGAAACTCCAAAAGGACTTCTCTAGCTCTAAGTAGCACCTGAGAACAGCTGTTTCACAAGCCCTTTCTCCTTAGAGTGACAGTTAATTCTCTCAGTCGGTTGCCACTTGCCTTAGAGATGGCAGCAAAAGCTTCCTTGATTCGTCAGCCTTTTGTTTTAAATCTATTCCCATCAATTTCCCACCTATTTGGAAACCTGTTTGCCACTTCTTTCAAGAACTAGCTCTAAAACGCACCTCTTCCAAGACTTCCAAGATTAATTTCTGCATAGCACTACAATCTCCTCAGCTCATCCGTATATTCAGTTGGTACCCAAACTGATGTTGCTCCCTAATTTTTCTAGTTCTGTGACTGTCTCTAGAGCATTAAGTCCCTTGAAGACAGGGACATTTCCCAAAAGCTGTTAAAGGACTGTAGAGACTGCCTAGTTATATCCTTTGCCCTGCCCATTTTCCTGATGAAGAAACTGTGGCCTTGAGAGGTTAATCTTTCCAAGTCAGTTAGCCAAGTTTGCAGGAAAACTAGCCATGGGGCCCAGGTATCCTGACTTTCGATAGAGTGCTTTCCATTATACTGTGTCACCTTCTTCTAAGTCACTTGTATCTCTTCAGAATGCCCGGGAAAGGGGCTATATTCATACACAAATCTCTCAAGGAATGCCCGTACAATAAGCGTCAGCGTCTGCATAACTGAGAAACTGACTCAAGGAAAGAGGCAGAAAGCAGAAAGGTCATTTTCTTACTTCTTTGCATGATGCCACCCTCCAGACCAGTTAATTGCTACTTTGCACGTTCCGTCAATGAGGCACTGCGCAGCCGTGATCGTGGCCCCTCCTACAGCTGCTGCGTAGTCAAATATCCCTTCCGTGGCAGGGCAGTCATAACCTTCGGGCAAAAACATCAGAAGAGCTTGTTACAAGATGAACTGCAGAAAGAGGAGGTGTGATATGGTGGTTCCCATAATAAGAAATACTACCCCCCACCCCCCACCCCACCCCCCACCCCACCCCACCCGTGATCTTCATCCCTGTGTCTGACACAGCGCTCCCAAAGCTGTTGGGATTTCCCAAGTGAAGAGAGCAGTAAAGGTGTCTTTGTTGTGTTAATGAGGTGACTTGTGGATCACACCCCAGGGTGGGGGGGGGGGCGGTGAGCAGTGGGGCAAACCAGGTGATTGGAAGGTTGGAACTACCAGTCCTACCCCCTGACCTCCTCCTGTGAGGGGGGAGGGGCTGGAGATTGAGTTCAATCACCCATTGGCCAATGATTTAATCAGGCATGCCTATGTAATGAAGCCTCCCATAAAAACCCAAAAGGCGGGCTGGGAGAGCTCCTGGTTTGGTGAATGCCTGGGAATGTGGGGAGAGGGGCATGCCTGGAGAGTGTGTGGAAGCCCCACACCACACCCTTTGGTCATCCCTTGCCCTGTGCATCTCTTCCATCTGGCAGTTCTGGGTTATATCCTTTTATAATGAACCGGTAATCTAGTGAGTAAATGGGTTTCCTAAGTTTTCTTGTGCCCTGCTCTAGCAAATTCAACCCAAAAGAGGGTGTTTGTGGGAACCTTCTGATTTATAGCCAGTCAGTCAGAAGCACAGGTAGCAAGCTGGGCTTGTGACTGGCATGTGACGTGCAGAGCAGTCTTGTGGGACTGAGCCCTTAACCTGTGGGACCTCATGCTATGGCCAGGTAGATAGTGTCAGAATTGAGTTGAACTGTACGACACCAGGTGGGTGTCCTGAGCATTGCTGGGTGGTGTGGGAGGAAAGCCCCACCTCCATACATTGGAACTGGGTCTAGAACCCTACTGGGAGGAACAGTTTGAGGTGCGACAACAACATATCTTGCCAAAAAGCTTCCAAATGAGAGAGAGATAAACATCTCCAATGTTGGGGAAAGAATCTTTTGAAGTATTGGAACTAGAGAGGCTAAACCTTCGAGATTAGCTAGTCACATCCTACAGAGGGAGAAACTGAGTCCTGAGAGGTGATATGTCTTATCTATGGTCACAAAGAGCCAGGCCTGGGACCCAGGTCCCTTGACTCACCCATCTCCCAGACCAGGTTTCTACCAAACCATGCTGTTTCTCTAGACTATCCTATTGGCCACCTACAGTTTTTTTAAAAATACAGCTGTTCAACATGAAGCAGGGTTGAAACCTTAGCCGGAACATAAATATGTACTCAAGTTAAAAATAGAAGGTCATGAGATGGTTAAATCAGCATCCATAGAGCCAGACCCAATCTGGGCACTACTATTAGGGCCTTGACAACTAAAAGATTTCCCCCCATCTGATCCAACGTTCAGCTTTGCTCAACTCATACGGTTTGCTCAGCAAGCAAGATATGTGTATCTAAACTAAGAGATTAAGATTGCGGTTAACACATCAGTTCTTAATTGACAAATACTAAAGACCATCATGCAAGTCAGGAAACGAGTGGTTACAATTTACAGACGGAGGCCGTCTCCCTCCCACCACTGGCCGGTAACGACTTTACCTAGCCCATATTCTACGGAGTCCGGATGGTCGTCATCTCCTTCTTGGCTGACCTTCTGGAGATGCTGCAGATAGGCATCAGTGTGGAAGGTGGCCATCTCCTCCATGGAGGCTACTTTGGGCTTAACTATCCTAATAATAACGGAGAACAAAGAGAGGTGAGTGAGTCAGACCCAGAATATGCCAGAAACTGGAAGCAGGAGAAAGGAGTCTGAGCAGAAAATACAACTCCCAGCTTCCAGTTCCAGTGGGCTGAAATATTGAACACGTTCTGTTCCTCTACTGTGCCATCTAGTCTTCACTTCCTCACATCGATATAATGATTCCATTAATAAGGGGTGAGAGGACCGATCTTCAAAGCCCTTGAGTTTATAGGTAGGTAAAAAAAAAAAAAGTGAGTAATTATATTTAAGTTAAATAATCGGATACTGGACAAACTTCACTCTGTGAGTTACAACTTGCATGACAAACTAGTAGGCAGAGATATTTTCAATTGCATCAGTTCCTAATTGGTACATAGAATCCTTTCAGCTATGTTTTTACTTTATTGTTTTTTTTTACTTATTTTTTTAGAGGGGGGGGAGGGGCAGAGGGAGAGAATCTTAAGCAGGCTCCACACTGAGCACAGAGCCCGACACAGATCTCATGACCCTGAGATTATGACCTGAGCCGAAATCAAGACTTAACTCTCTATTTTAACTTCAGTAGGCAACTGTATTTTCATGAATTTTGAATTTGGAGTCAGAGAACTGGGCACCTCTTTTTAACTCTGTACTTAACAGCTCTATAACCTCAGGTAAGTTGACTGTTCTGTATAGTTGTTTTCTCATCTGTAAAGTAGGGAGATCTAATGGGACACATGTGAAGATGAAATGATAACATATGAAAATGCTTTGTGGGTAACTATCATTATTATTAATACTAAAGGATAAAAAAAATGGCAACTCAAAACATAAAAGTTTCTCTGTTTGGTCCCTCACATCTACCTCTGAGAGGAAAAAGAGAAGAGGCAAACTGGCTGGAACTGGGCTTTGCTCAGAAGCTCCTAATCAACTCCTCACAACAAGTGACAAATAGAAGGCGACTGAGAGAGGGGCACTTGGTTTCGGCTCAGGTCATGATCTCAGGGTTATGAGATCTGTGTCGGGCTCTGTGCTCAGTGTGGAGTCTGTTTGAGATTCTCTCCCTTTGCCCCTCCCACCACTCTCTCTCTCTCTCTCTCAAATAAATAAATAAATCTTTAAAAAAAAAAAAGCAACTGAGAGAATACAGGGTGATGTTAAGCTAATGGCAGGACTTACCACGTCTAACCTCCAGCTGCCTACTCCCCATTTCCTCTCCCCGACTCTGCCACTGCCACTCAAAGGGTAGTCTATGGACCAGCAGCAGCGGCACCTAGGAGCTTGTTAGACTTGCAGAACTTCAGCCCCACCTCAGATCTCCGGAATTGGAATTTAACAAGGTGATTCATACGTACATTCAAGTTGGAAGAGCAATGACCTAGGCCACAGGGAGGCAGTAGTGGCTTTTTATGTTTGCTGAATGGGAACTCAGCCATGAGTTTTTCATGAATTAATATGACTACACAGGCTACTACTACCACCAAGCAAGCCAGAAAAAATCCTGTAGCTCAGCCTCAAAAAAAATCATGTATATGGTCAAGAGCCAAGGATTCCTGCTTCTCCTTCAAGAAAATATGGCTACACCCTCAGAGGTGACAAACCTGCACATTAAAAGAAAAATGTTACAGTTTCTTGGACCACGTTTCCCAGCCCTAATGGGTCCCTTTTCTAGCACCCTTCCTCTTGTTTAACAAATATGGAAAGCCTCTCTGCTTAATAGCAAGCGAATGGGACAGTTTTGCTTTGCACTGATTTCTTGTCTTAAAGTAACTTTTGAAAAGTTAAATAACTGAGGGATGCCTGGGTGGCTCAGTTAATTAAGCGTCTGCCTTGGGCTCTGGTCATGGTCCCGGGCTCCTGGGTTCGAGGCCCACATCGGACTCCCTGCTCAGCGGGGAGCCTGCTTCTCCCTCTGCCTGCTGCTCCCCGGCTTGTGCTTGCTCTCTCTCTCTCTCTGACAAATAAATAAATAAATAAATAAAATCTTAAAAAGAGAGAAAGGTTAAATAAATGGAAGGCATGTAGTTCTTATGTCTAGCAAACATATGGGTTAAAAAAATAAGGTACTCAATAAATGATTTTGATAATAAGGATAAAATTCGAAAGCCTATTACACTACCTTCTGGGAGATAAATGAAGCATACCACAAAAGCCCGTGCAGACACTCACCTATTTGGCCAGACAATGTCATAAATAATCCTACAAGACAGGGTTATAAGATTTACTCTTATAAAGATTAACAGCAAGTTCATTTTTTTTTTTTTCTTAAAGAAGCACTTAACTCAGTGCTGAGTTCTGGCCTAGTTGCAGGAGTTTTGCTTTGGTCTTGACTTGTCTCCAGGCTTACTCGTAAAAGTCTGGTGGTGGTGATGGGGTGTCTAAAAGTCTGAAGTTGAACACACACCCTCACATCTGGCTTGGAAACAAATACAGACAAACCCCAGAACCCAGCCAAACACCATTTTCCCCCCTATCAGGTGGGTTTTAGTACCCTAATGTAACTCTCCTCAAAATCGCCACAAAGCACCTATCCCTAGAATACTTTCCCTTCCAGCAATAGAGTCTTACTTCTAGTGGATCTGAACTGCTTCAGGTCCTTTTTTCAGGTTTTCTTAATTCTTCAAGAACTTTCACTAGATTACAGACATTACAAACACTGAATAACAACAGAAAAAAAAACTTAAAAGGACCATTCTCAGTTTCTAATTTGCCCCACTGTGAAGTGGGATATTAAGGCTAGAACACCTAGGTTCAGGGCTCTGTTCATGAAAGACAACTTACCTCATTTGCTTATGCAGTGCATATGCTTCAATCAAAGAATGTACCATACTGGCCTAAAAACATGAACAAAAAAAGAAAAAAAAAAGGCAGAAAAAATGTCTCTTAAATGTTTAATTCAGAGAAATACCATCAACTTCATCATCCTGAACAAAGAAAGTAACTTTTAACTCCCCTCTTTTTACTTAACAGTTACAATGCACTTTAGACAAATTGCTAAAGGCGAAAGCTACCGGGCCTTACGGAGGTGATGGAACATTTCTCTCCTGCAGCGTCTTCCCCACTTCAGGGATCCCTTGTAGTAGAGACACCAACGCCTCAGTGCCATCCCCTCCCCCCGCACCCCTACCCTCTCCGGTGCATTGGACGCCCCGCAGATAAATGCTGCGCTCTCAGAAACTATAAGGGAACACTTCCTCCATCACCTGGTGCAGCTGCGCAAATTTCTGCTGATTTTCCCCAGCCCAATCCTCTGCCCCCTCCTAATGCCCTCCGGTTCAACGGCCCCCACCCCCACCCCAGAAGCCCACGGTCTTTTTTCTCCAGCTCTCTTACCCGTTTGGGGACTTTGGCCAGGGAGTCGCACATGCTGACATACTCGGGGCTGTAGATGTAAACTGGAGGCAGCGACTGCCCACTGTCCGCCGGTTCCTCCGGCTCCTCCATCTTCCAATTGCAGCCGTTCCGGAGCCACCGTCTGGATCCGGCTTTTTTCGGACTCAACCCGGGCTCCGGTTCCTGCTCCTCTGAACGGCCGCAGCGGTGCTCCCTGGTCAACATTCCCTCCTATTCTCGCTATCGCCAGAGACACTGTCCCAGCTCCCCATCCAATTGAAGGAATGCATGGGCCTTCCCAGGCCAGAACCTCTTCATTTAGTGACCACGGCTCAAAAACGGGAGGTCGGCAAATATAAAAACCCAAACAGCTGCCAATTAGGATCAATATTTTATGGCACAAATAAGCACGGTCAAAACTAACCATCCTTGTTGCCCTACGGGGCCATTTGAGATGAGGTCAGACCAGCTTTAGAGCATGCTGGGAGATGTAGTTTTGAGGGGTTCGGGTAGCGGAAGAGCCGGGGCTAATTACTAAAATAGCCGCGAATGTGAGTTTTAGCGCTTAAAAAAAAAAAGCAGCCTCAACTCTTTATGAATTGTTTCAATCTGCAAATACAGCCATATAAATATTTAAAAATGGACACAACGTGGCCACCAAGATCCCAGCACCACCCAGCTACATTAGACAGGTTTTTTTTTTTTTTTTTTTTTTTTTTGGTGCGGAACTAATTAATGGTGTAAAGGGTTTGAAAAGTTGGCACAGTAAATTCTGTACCGCAACTTTAGTTTATTCCTTTTCACCATTAACAATCCATGTCCATGTAAGAGTTAACAGTCTCAATAATTTACTCTGGCAAAGCCGATAGCACTTTCCTAAGAGGCTGGCCGGTACTCTGGAAATTGCTCTGTAGATTCCAATCAAGCAATGATGTCAAATTACTCTTTGAAAATTCATGTGGAGTAAGGGGGGTAAGCAGATACTTTCAGTGATGTTTGGAAACTGCAGCTCCCCTTCCTTCCCTCCTTTTGCTTCTGTAACTATACAAGCGTTACTGACATATAATAGGTTTAGTGTGAGGGTCTACATTAAACAATACCCTGAAGCGGTTTTAGAATTATCACCAGTATTTCCGGGTTCCTGGCAGCCCCTATGCTATGATGCAAGCTGGCCAATGCCCAAGCCTCCACCTCTCACATCAACCTGAAGTGACCTTCGAACACCCCTCAGACAATCCAATATCCTTACCTCCTTTAAAATCTAACTTGCCTTTTTGACTCTTTAAACTTATTGAGCACTGCGATATGCACTTGGATATTTTATCTCATTTCACCTTTGCAAAAGTCCTATGAAGGATGTTGTAATATGTCCATTTTACAGAGGCAGTTTAGAGAAAGCAAATAACTATTCAACGTCACACACTTACTAAGCAGAAAAGCAGGAATTCAAAACCGGGTCTGTCTGACACTGAAGCCTTTGAACATTCCCTTCACTATGTAAACTTCATTCCTCCAGGATGACTTTGTGGTAAATCTAACTTTGCTCAACCCTCCATTTAGTATTCCCTGAATACTTAGCATTCTGGAAATACTTTCCCCCTGTGATGTGTTCTTTAACTAGAATGTAAGCCCTTATGCTTCTTTTATATCTTCCCATAGCAACTAGTTCAAAGTTCTGTGGTCATTAAGTCATTCATCAAACATTTATCTGACATCAACTAAATATACACTATGGCTAAGGATTCAGTTCTCAAGATGAATTCTGATCTCTGCTTTCAAGGAATTTGCATTCTTGTACAGATGAGACAAATAAGAAACTATGCAATGCAGCAGAGTCAGGTAATGAATGTAGGATGCTTAGATTACTTAATAAACAAACTTTAAGTATTTAATAAATGGCAACTAGGATTCCTATTCAGTGGCATTTGAGATGGCCTTAGTGCATGGACAGGATTTTACTTGGTGGGAACGAGAGCCAGGCGAGGGCACACTGACTAGAATCCACAGCATAAGCAAAAACAAAAAGGAGACCATTTCTAGTCAAGTTTAGCTGAAGGGACTGGATCATGAAGGGTTTTGAATGCCAGGCTAAAGAGAACAGACTTTACTCTGTGGGAAATGAGGAGACATTTAAACAGAAATCTTAAAAAAAAAAAAAAAGATTTCCACAGCAGTGGTGGGTAGAAAAGATTAGCTATTGAAAGACTAGAGGCAGTCAGTGTCGCAACGGTCCACATAAAAAGTAATGATGGTTCAAACCAGAGTATGGGCCACAGGAACAGAGAAGCCGCTACCCCCGTCCTGGATTGTCATCTCTCACCCAGACTTTCTGCAATATCAAACAGGTTTCTGCTTGTACTCTTGCAGAACTACAATCCAGTCTTTTTGCAGCCACCAGAATGAACTTGGAAATAAAAAGTAAATCAGGTCATGTCACTCTTTAAAGGTTCCCCTACCTCATGGTGAGAATCTTTTGAGCTAGGAAGAAGAATGTAACTTTTGGGAATGCCTGTTTGTGGAGGTTAGGAGGAGAAAAAGATGCCAGAAAGGAGACAAAAAAGAAATAGCTGGGTGAGAACAAGTGTAGTACAGTTTCACAGAAATAGAGGGATGATGCGGGTTACAAGAAGGGAGAGGTAGTAACAATGTCATTGCCATTAGGAGCTCACTGATGTTCTAAGAAACAAAAACAAAAACAAAAACAAAAACAAAAACCACCACAAGGCAGGGGAGGAAGCCAGACTGCAAGGGGTTAAGGAGTGAAGTTAACACTGTCAGGTGTAGCTTCCTCTTTGAAGAAATTTAATTGTGGAAGGAAGGAGTTAGTAAATCAGGGGATGTAGAGCTCATGAATGATTGTTTTTAGGATAAGAGAAGTGCACATATTTACAGATAGAGGGGAAGGAGTCGGTGGGGCTGTAGGAGTTGACTGAAAGGTGAGAGCATGACAGGCTGGCAATGTAAAGAGGAAATGAGATTTGTCCTGGGCTTTCATGGATAGGCAGTGAGAGGAAGAGGGCAGGATACAGGGTGGCCGAATGATGCTCTAAAATCCGGACCGAAATAAGATGACATGAAAATGGATTGTTCTATGTGTTCTTTCAGATCTAGCAACAGGTAGCTGAACACTTCAACACACTTCTAAACTGGAAACAATATCCTCATTTGGGACACAATGTGGCAAGATGATTCAAGTACAGAGAAAGATAAATTGTTGCAACGAGGCTCTGAAATTGGCAGCATATTCCTGCAGCAAATCTCACAGGGTGGCTGGACCCTTGTTCATGAGTAAGAGAGAGCACAAGCCATGCCACAGGTCCCTAACCTCAATTTTCCACATGTTTAATCCCCATATGGTCCTTAAATTGGGAAGAAAACCCTTCCCAAAGCACTGGATTTGCAGTTGGAGGACTTCAAGTTCAAAGGAAGGAGGTTGGATTTTGGCTCCAAAGTTTACTGGTGTGGTGACCCTGGGTAAATTCCTTGACTTACTCTCTTCAACCGTTATTTTGCTAAAGGCAGCTTCTGAACCAGCAAGGTCAGGCTGGGCTGTGCCACTTCTATTGGTGATCTCTCCTGTCTTCACTTGCTGGCAGAAACAGGCAGAAGGGGAAGCAAACAATTAAAAAGGCACTACTCCTCCGGCTACCTTCTTTGTGCATTTCTGCCCACTGCCCACCACCCCATACAATCTTCCCACTGATGCCTCAACTGTACTTAACAGACCGACCCTTGTTTTAATGTCTTTTCTTTGGAGAGTGTCATTGTTGAGAATGTGAACTCTAGAGTCAAACTGCTTGGGCTCAAATCCCAGCTCTACCACTTACGAGCTGTTTGATCTTGAACCATTTGCTTAAGTGCCCAGCACCTCAGTTCCCTCATCTGTAAGATGGGGATGACAACAGTCTCTAATCTCACATGGTAATTGTAAAGACAGGATAAGATGGTTCATGCCAGCTACCTTATAACAATGTCTGGCACTTGGTAAGCACTCAAATATTGCTCATCATCTAAGAGACAATAGGCCAAATACTCCTTAATTTTGGGGAAAGTCTCCCCTCACTGTTTCCTTACCCCTGTACCACTACTGCAAGAGTACTGCTCGTGGTTTGAGAACAGGTCCTTGGCTTTGAGGCCTAGCCTTAAATCAGACTTCTGCTAAATATAGGGCAACCATATCATCCAAACTGGGACACCTTTTGAGAGTGACAAAGAGTGCTATTAATAATTATGCCAGGACAACAGGCATAAATGGAGCATGTCCTGGGCAAACCAAGACCTAAGGTCACTCAAGTTTAACAGGAAATGAAGACTGAATGTGGACAACACTGTATTTATCTCCACTGCATTAGTGTAGGTACTAGGTGTTTGGTAAGTGCAATGGGGGACAGTAGAAGTTTTGTGAGTTGTGGCTAAGAACAACAACTTTTGCTCCACCAGTTGCATAAAATTCCCACAGGGTAATAAAAACTAAGTAACCAGGATGGGCCTGGAGACTGGTTCATCCTTACTGCACAAACCCTAACTTGTTACACAAAGGCTAATAGGTAGTATAAACAAGATTCTGCCAAATATTTATAATACTTAGGAGACCAAATTGTTTTTAAGTACCCTCCAGTGGCACAGAAGCACCATTTGCACACAGTTGTAATTCTGAGTCAAAATCGGTCTTATTCATTCATCAGAACAGGTCCCCTATTGTTATGATGAGCTCTGGGTGTTATATGTAAGTGATGAATCACTTAATTCTACTCCTGAAACCAATATTGCACTGTATGTTAACTAATTTAAATCAAAATTTGGAAAATAAAAAGAACAGGTCCCCTAAAGATGTCAATGAGCCATTTTAATTTAGTGAGCCTAGTTTGAGTGGGTATGTGTTTGAAAGATAAAAGTGCATTTCTTTACATATATTATCTAACATATTATATAATGTATAATATAGAATTTCTATACTAATATTATTCCACTCAATGAGCTTTGGCTGTACTGTGCAATTAAATACAGTAGGTAAAATAGAGCCACCAAAGAAACTCCAATCACAAAGACACACATAAAGTTTTGCACACTGGCATCAGACGTGATTTAACTGGACATTCCAATTTTTAATTCTATTTTCAAGACATAAGTGCTTAAAAAAAAAAAGAAGGTCCAAGGTGTCTTTTAGTATCACGTGCTTAAAAGGAAGAAAATACAAATCAAGTTTTCCAAAAAGTTGCTTTAAATGTGAAGCTGCGCTGTATGGAGAGCATAGTGATGGACAACTTCGTAAAGCCTGGGGAACTGCAGCCATCAGTGTTAATTGAGGCAACTTAGCTTAGCGTGGCAGAGAGCGGTGGTTCCC